AATAAAAATAGTAAATTATATGGAGAGCGGTGAGCCTGGTGTTGGGGGGGCTCAAAGAGGTACCTTCTAAAATGGAAGTTTTAAGTGCTCATACAGCTAATGCCTGTCAGTTATCACTAGTATTGATATGACTTGCATCTAGCCTAGCCCTCCGTCAGCTACAGTAACCTTGTCTCCCGGCCTTCACTTCTGCCCTCCTCCCAGTCCTCAATGAACTGTCCCAGCAGAGAGGTCCTAACTTTGCACTCAACAGTCATTTGGACACCTCCTACTTGTTGTTATTTATCATTACTAATTTATACAGTTGTACTCCCTATATGGTTCCTGCCGTTGCTCGTTTTTGTTTTTATGTAGCCCAGGCTGCCCTTAAACTTGCTGTGTAGCCAAGGATGCCTTTGAACTTCTGATCCTCTGGCCTTTACCTCCCAAGTGCTGGGATTATAGACTTGTACCTGTGTCCTGAGGTGCTGGGGCTTTGTGTGTGCTCACTGAACTGTATCCCTAGGTCCAAGACAGAACACCCAAATTCAAAACTAAACACAGACTTTTTGAAATGATGATCAACCAAATTCTTCCTTCCTTTTTTTCCCCCCCTTTTTTGGGAGAGGTTTTGAGACAGGGTTTCTCTGTGTAGCCCTGGCTGTCCTGGAACTCAATCTGTAGATCAGACTTGCCTTGAACTCGAACTCAGAGATCTGCTTGCCTCTGTCTCTCAAGTACTGGGATTAAAGGCGTGAGCCAAATATAAATTCTTTTTTTTTCCCTGCAGAGCATTTCCTAGGTCCCAAATGACTGACCTATCTAAGGCCAGCTTTAGGATACAAGAGCTCCCTGTAAAGTTTCTCCAAGAGTTCTGAGCTAAACTTTGGGTTAAGCTGTTTGAAGTTTACAGCTGCGGCCTAGTAGACCTATTCTGAACTTCTGGGGCACAGAGGACGTTCTGAATTTAGAATAGTCTCCAATGGGCATATACTTCAGTTCTTTGAATTATGAAGGAATGTATGTTATTTAGTCCCCAAAAGTTTCATGTGTTATTATTTTGTTTCCTTAACTTTATTACAAGACTTTTATTTGTAGGTATTTTCAACGTCATATTTCAGCTTGCACAAATATTAGATGTTTGGCCAAAAAACTTCTTACATATTTAATGAATAGTCCAGCATGTACAGTTTTGTTTTACATATTTTAATCTGAAAAAGATAAGGAAAGGTAAATCCCCTAAGCCTTTCTTTTCTCTTCTGTGTGGTTTATTCATATTAAGTACTAAGAGGAAAGATGAAGTGATTTCTTGAATTTTAAAAAATACACTGTAGCTAGGCATGGCGGTGCAGGCTTTTAATCCCAACACTCAGAAGGCTGGAGCAAGTGGATCTCTGTGAGTTCAAGGCCAGCCTGGTCTACAGAGTTAAACAATAACAATAACAACCAAACACAGTTTCCCTCGAAACACCACAGAGATCCACACAGACACACACGTCTTCCCTCCACCCCTCAGCCACGCACACACACTCTATAGGAGAGCTGGGGAGATGGCTCAGTCGATAAAACACTCGCCTTCAACTTAAGCTCTATCTATCCCTAGACAGATCTGGTTTATTTGTTGCTGTTGTTCTCTTTTTCCTTGTCTTTTTCTTGCTTTGCAAAGCCAGGGGCGACAGCTGAGACTTGAAGCCCAGGACTTGGGCAGTATTAGACAGATCCCTAAGGCTTCCTGGTCAGCCACCTCATCTACTCGTTGAGTTCTAGGCCAGGGAGAGACCCTGAATGAAAAAAAAAGTGTCTGGAGACCAGTGGCCTCCATGCTGACACATATGAAGACAAACAAATACACGCACACAAATACATCGCAGATTTTCTCATATTTCTATTATCCTAAAAACCCTGCATCTATATTTAACCCCTCTTTCTTCTCTCCCTTCCTCTCTCTGTCTCCCACTTTTGTTGATACTGAAGATTCAGTCTAGAGCCTTACACATGCTAGGCAAATCTTTTTCCACTGAGCAACAGCTCTGTTCTATTTCTTTATACAGAGCCTCCTGCTAAGTTGTTCAGGCTGACTTCAAGCTTGCAATCTTCATGCCTCAGTTTTCCAAATAGTTGGAATTACAGGCATATTTCACTGTGTCCGGTTGCTTTTATGTCTTTGCTTAGGTTTAGGAGAGAACATTTTATTTTTGGCTCTAATATTAGCACACAGTTCCCCTGTATTTATGCAAATCATGCCCATAGAGTAAATGTATGGTATATACATGTGCATATATTTTTATGTTAGTCTTTACGTATGCTATCATATCATACCTTCTGTCTTCTGTAAAAGACTTCCCTTACTATAGTGACAGCAGTGTACGCATCTTCCCTTCTTAGTGCCCAATGGTGACTACTTTGGGTTAATAGTGGGCTCCAGGGCCCTGTTCCTATCATTGTCTCCACATGCCCCATAGTGACCTTTCCAGCAGCCACTGTGGTCAGACTGCCTCTCCAGCACACATTACAGGTGGCTTGCTGGTTGTAGGTACATTAATGGTTACCCACATTCTGGTGCCCACAATCCCTCAGAATGAAGCTCAGGATGTCTGCTCTTAGGGAAATCTAGGCCTTTGTAGTCAGCCTCCTGCCAGGTGTGGTTTCCTTACCTACCAAAGAACAGACCAGCTTGGGAACCTCGGTCACCGTGTCTAGCTCCCCTCTCCCCCCCAAAAAAACCAATGCAGGTTTGCTCAGGTTGCCAGGGACCTTCCATTGTCACTGAAGCTGACACCTCAAATTTGCTATATAGTTGGAGCTCTGAACTTCTGATCCTCACAGGTGGGGTCGGACTGTGAGTGTATGCAACAGCCAGTTTTGTGGGGTGCTGGGGATCGAACCTGGGGCTTCTTGCAGGCCTGACAGCCACTCTATAAACCCAGTTACAGTATCAATCTCTTCATTATCTTTTTTTTTAAAGAAACAGATTTATTTCATTTTTATTAATGCGTGTATGTGCATTTGTGGGAGGGTGCCTGTGAAGGCCAGGAGAGGGGGTTGTATCCCCTAGAGCCAAAGGTTATAAGTCATCTGATGTGGGTTCTGGGAACCAAACCCAGGTCCTCCGCAAAAGCAGCAAGCAATTTTAACTGCTGAGTCATCTTTCTAGACTATGCCCCAAGCCTCATCATTTTGAAAGTAGGAATGTTTTGAAAGTTTCTACCACTGTTACAGTTTGGATATAAAATGTGTAAAGGGTCCATGTGTTGGAGACTCAGTCTTTTATGGATAGATCCACTCTACCCAGTTAGTTAGGACAATTGCATTCTGAGGTCTTTGGCCCAGTGAAGGGATTAAGTCACTTGGTAGACGCATGATTCAAAGGAGGCAGGGGCTCCTTGGAAGTGGTAGGTCTTTGGGGGCTGGATCTTGTTCTGGGCCTCTCTGGCTTTCTGTTTCCTGACAACCACGAAGCGTGCAGACTCTGCCTTTAATGTTCTGCCTGCCTCAGGCCCAAAGCAATGGATCCAGCTAATCTCAGCCTGAGTCCTCTGAAACCGAGAGCTAACATAAATCTTTCCCGTTCAAGTTGTTTGGGTCAGTTATTTTGTCCCAGCGATGGCAATCTATACATAGCACACTTGATCTGATGTCAAGAACCTTGCATGCATTTGCTTCTGTTTCTTATCTCACCTGCTGAATGCTACAGTCTTTCAGGGAATGATCTATGTTGGATTTCTAAGCATCATTCACTCCGGCAGACCCCATACTGATGCTTGCTTAAGGAAGAAATGAAGGCGAATGAGAAAGTCATATCTATTTCCAGTTGGTGCTTCGTTTCTATTTGGCTTATTGTGAAGAGAACCCTCAGAAGCTGCTAAATCAGAGACTTAAGAAGGAAGACTCTTTCAAGGACTTCCCCCTGTCCCAGCCCACAGTACTTAGAGACCCCAGAGGTTTTCAGCTAGTAATTAACACAAGGCTAGTGAATTATTTTTACTGGCTTATAAATTAATCCTTAAGTATTAAGGAAGCAATAAGCCAACACTCAGCCATTAGCCATGTTTTCCTCTTATAAACAAGCTGAGGACTTTGGCTGCTATTTTTTTCTTTCCCCTCCAAGCTTGGTCATAAAAACAGTCCCAGGAACTCATCAGAATGAAATGTGTAATAAGAAAAAATGCACACATAACACAAGGTTATGTATCCCAAGGTACGTTTTGGCTAACTGGGCAAGTTTGCAACAAGTTCTGCAAACAATGTATGTTTGCTTGGAAAAACAGAAAGAAGAAAAACAAAACGGTTTGGCAGATGGTGATGCTGGTGAAGCCCCTGTCCAGTAAGTACTAAAGCCTGAAGTGCTGAGTTCGATCCCTGGATCCCACATAAAGGTGTAATGAGAGAACTGTCTCTACAAAGTTGTCCTTTGACTTAAACGGGAGTGTCACTGGGTCACTCCACACATCAAGTGTATGAACACACACACATAAACACACACACATAAACACACACAAAACACACGTGCGCACACAGTAAAAATGTAAAGTCAGAACCAACACGAAAATGAATGAAAAATATAAGGGCATCAGCATTTAAAACAGTACTAAGAAAGAAAACTGCATAAAATAAATAGACCCTTGCATGTAGATAGAACCCCAGGCTCAATATAACATCAGTAGACTAAGATGGGATGAGTTGGCAAACAGGTCGAGATTTATCTTTAAAAAAAAAAATTAAAAGGCACCCAACTGAGACCCTGTCGGTTAAGGGGGGCGTGACACACATTTTTGGACACTTTGAATAAGGGGCACAGTGCGTGCGCGCTAAGCCTATACCAGCTACCGGCTCTTAGCACGCACGACTGGTTCCGGATTCCCGCACCGAGCACCGCACCGGGCCAGCGGCTGCGGGCTGGGAGGGCGCTTAGGGCTAGCGCTGATTGACCGGGCGCGCAGTCAGGTGACCCGAGGCGCCACGTTCTGGGAGCCCGGCCCGCGGTGGCTTCCCAGGCAGGGGCAGGGCCGACCGGGGAGCCGCGAGGGACTGATCTCTCCCGGAACAAAGTTGCAGGGCCGGTGGCCGAGGGCACGCGAGCAAGTGACGCGGCGGCGGCGAGAGAGGGAGGCGGTTCCGACCTGCGGGATCCACGGCTCCGGGGCTGGTCTAGCCCTGCCGGAGAAGCGAGCCCCTTTCCCGGGGTGGCGGGCTGACCAAGCAGCGCCCCACCCTCGCTCTCCAACAAAGGGGCCGGCGGCGGCGGGGGTGGACCGGGAGGAGGAGCCGGAGCCCGAGCCGCGGGCTGCTTTCGCGCACAAAGTTGTGGAGTCGCCCTTCCCCGGAGGAGAGGAGCGGGCAGCGCGGGGCGCGGGATTTCTCCCGCCCAGGGCAGAGGAGGAGCCGCGGGCGCCTTCGGCCGAGCGGGCGACCTCGGTGAGTGGCGCCCCTTTTCTTTCGGGTCATCCTGCAGACGGAAAACTCCAGAGCGTGCCTGCCTCTGCCTAGCGTTTGGACTGTTTTGTTTTTGGCGGAACTACCCGGCAGGAAGATTGCACAAGTCAGGGGGCGTTTCCAATTGGGTGTCAAGTTTTTTTCCTCCCCTCTTTCGGATCTTGTCTGGCTTTCCACGTTTCATTTAAAAAAGAAAAAGAAAAACTAAAATCTCGCATCGCCCAACGCAAGCTCCCGCACACCCGGCTTCCAGCGACCCGAACACACCCAGAGGAGCTTTTGGGCCTCTGGGACTTGGCGAGCAGGTAAGTCCATGCATTATTGAAGCTCCGGGCTGTGTAATGTGACCGCAGTCCCCGAGGGAACGGGGCGGGGGCTGAGAGGAGGTGGGACCTTTCTGCAGTTCCTCCGCCCGGTCTAGAAATAGAAGCCGTAGCCAACTTCTGCACTTTCCCTGGAAGCTCAGCGGCCCCCCTCCTGGGCGGGAGCGAGCTGGGATGAGAAGGTGGGAATCTACTTGTCGCCAGGGTCTCAAATTTCTCGGGCTGGTTCAGTGCTGTCGTCTTGTCCCTTTCTGAGGGGGAGAGGCTGTCGCCTGTTCGTTCATCGCCCCGAGCGGGCGAGCACGGCTAGCGATCTCCAAGAGGGGACGTGGCCTCTTCAGAGAGCCTGTCACACACCTCCGGTCCTGGGAAGGCGGGGCCCGGGTGGTGTCCCGGAGGAGAGGGTGGGGAGGGCGGTTTGCGGTCTGAGGGTTGTGGAGCGCTTCCCTGCCGGCCTCCAGGCTGGGGGCGTGCTCGACCTCTGCGTGGTTGCTGTTCCCGAGGGTGGGGCCCCAGTGTGGCGAGATCACCAGCTCCCCGCCAGCAGCTCTGGAGAGACTGAAGGGAGAAGGGGGTACCTCTTTGGTGCGTAGTCCCGGTCGCCTGCTTTTCCGGACTCTTGGCATCCCCTACTGCAAGTGACAAGGTAATTCATGCCCCCTTTAGGCCTGGGTCTGAGAGTCGGCTTGCCCAAGGCCACTTACAAAACCAACAAAGAACTAATTGTAGGCTGTGCAACTTTTAGAAGGCACATTGTTCAAAGAGACTTTTCAAGTCCCTGGATTCCGACGGTGTGGCGTTCCAGGGTTATTTTCAAGGGGAGGAGGAAACGTGTGTGACCCCTGAGAGCCAGGGACCCGCCTTTTTTGAACCCTCAAATTAGAGCTTCTGGGTGTAATTCCGGGCTGCACTCTCAGGAGTGTCCCGAGGGAACATCCTTGATCCTCCTAGCCTTCAGGTCATCTGGGTCACCACTCGAGAGAGGTGGGCTCTCCGGGTGGTGCTTGGAAAAGTGCGCCTTGGTCAGAGTGCATGAATTCCAGACTAGACGGGATCTCCTGGATGGCGAGGCAGCAGCAGCATCCATTCCGTTGGAACTTGCCCTGGGCCTCTGAAGTCAGGCTGGACCCTCAGGGCCTGGCTGCTGGTGGGCGCTGGAGACTCAGCTCGCAAGAGCTGGTGGAATTTGAAGCTCGTGGGTCCTTCAGCCCGAGGACAAGGCGGTGAGGGGCGAGGGCCTTGCGCACTGAAGCCACCCCCCCTCCGCCCCTCTTCACCAGCATTTATGAGACCTTCGAGATAGCTCTTTAACTCTCCTTTGGATGTTTATCCAAAATTTATTGCGCCTGTAAACAGCATTAATCACAGTGGTATTAACCTTCCCTGGAGCGCTTCCTAGCGTGAATGGCAGCGCTTGGCACTCACCGGTTTCCTTCACAAGTGGGAAGGCAAACCTGTCCCTCAGCTTCCCTCTCCACTCTTCCCCAGCGTTCCTAGCTTTTGGTTACTAGTGAGCCAATAGTTTTTGCGAGATTTAACAGCTTTCCGCCACAGCTGCACCTGGTTGAATATTCCTTAATGGTGACACTGTTTGAATGTTGTCTGCTCTTGAACTTTTGCCTCTAAAGCCCCCAGTCCTGGCGTTTTGGTCTGAGTAACAGAAAAGCATCAGACCGAAGGAGGAGCTGGTACATGTAGTTGGGTGCGTGGGTTTCGGTGGGGGGAACTTCACCGACTGTCCTTTTGATGGAAAGGTCGGGCAGCAACTGTGTTGGACCCTTAGCACAACCTCTCGGTCATTCACTTCTGGTTTCTTCCTTATCTGTGTGGAGTGTGGCTCCTTCCATTCCATAGGTGCGGAAGTGGAAGGAAGCTTTGATTCTGTTCCCACAGCCAATTATCGTAGCATTTTATTTGTGTGTTTTGAGATAGGTCTCATTTACGCGGCCCAGGCTGGCCTTGAACTTGCTTCAGCCTCGGAAGTAGCGGGTACCACCACACCTGGCTCACACCTGTGGCAGTTTGGAAGAAAGTATCCTCAAACTTTCTTATTCAAACTGGTGCTCCTGGGACGTTAGTGGCTACAAGAGTTAGTGGCTGTTAAATGTTTAAATGACCTGTTAGTGTCTTTCCTCCTCATTCTTTTCGAGTTCCTCCATCACGTTTTCTGCCATGTTTTTTTCAGTGTAAGAGGGGGTTTGCGTTATCAAGAAGAGAACGTTGGAAAAATGATCCTTAGGAGAATGGCAGAATCACACATTTTAATGAAGACACATTATTGGTCATGTCCCTTTGTACAAGTTAACCTTTTCTTTAAAAGAAATTGGCAGGGGCGGGGGGCATTTTTTAAAGATGGCTCAGTGGTTAGGAGACAGTCCAGGTTCACTTTCTTATGCCCTTTTCTGGCCACCTTGGGCCCTGGGTACACACATAAGGTAGGCATTCACACATAAATGTTAAGAAATGCATTTTTAAATAGTTATTTATTGTAGGTGTGAGAGGGAGCAAGCCCCACGCACAGACACAGAGGTCATCTAGCTTAGTGGCAGGTGCCTTTGGAAAGGTTTAATGTGGAGGTTCCTGGCTAAAACCAGTTATAAAGGAGAACACTGGAATTGTCTCTCAAAGGAACTACATTCCATGAAAGAGAGTTTTCCTTAGGTAACTGGAATTTTCCATAATAAATTTTTTATATATTCTCTGAATAAGATTTTGGGTCTCTAAAATATCAAGATACATATAAAAGCATAGTAAATCTTCCACAGTTTTCTACTTCAAGATAGGAATATAAAAAAATTTGTGATTACATTCTTTGGGAGAACTTTGTTTTTGTTTTGTCTTTCTTCTTTAGTCTTGTGTAGCCCAGGCTGGCTTCAAACTCTCTGTATAGCAGAGGCTAACTTTGAACTCCCGATCCTCCTGCTGGGGTTTCTGGTCCACTCCTGGTTAAAAACTGCTTGGCAAATGGCCAGTCTTCCAGTGCTTTTCACTGGTCACTTTTGACTTTTGTTTGTTTGTTTGTTTTTGTAATTCTGGGGTTCAAACCCAGAACCACGTGCATAAGGTAAGCACTCCATCACTGAATTACATTCTCAGCTCTTTTAGCTTATTTTAAAATTTTAGACAGGTAGCTTAGATTAGTTTGGGATTTTCTATGTAGCTCAGGCTAGCCTAGGATTTTAGGGAGCCTCTTTCCTCTGTCACTCTGGTGCTGGGATTATAGCTGCGAGTCACCACATCCAGGTCTTCACATTTTTCTTTTCTTCTTTCTTTCTTTCTTTCTTTTTTTTTTTTTGGTTTAGGTTTTTGAGACAGGGATTACCTGTGTAGCCCTGGCTGTCCTGGAACTCGCTTTGTAGACCAGGCTGGCCTTGAACTCAGGGATCACCTGGCTTTGCCTCCCGAGCACTGAGATTAAAGGCACGCGCCACCACCACCCGACTCTGTAAATTCTTAATACTCGTGAAATCATATAAACATTTAAAAAGTTTTTTATTGTCCTATAAAGCCTGGGAGACTGATGAACCGATCCATATATTGAGAGGAAATGGTTCTTAAAGCTTTAACAATTTGCCAGTGTTCTTTTGCTTTAACTCTCATTTTGCTCTCATTAATGGACTCGACTGGCTTCCTGACTTGCAGAAAGAGAAGTTATTATGCTACATAATGTTTATATTTATATAACAAAGTAGTACTGTAGGCTACACTGTTTGAATGTTAAATAATAGAACACAATGCTGTTCCACAAATATGAAATTTAAAATAACAGTGTAGTACAATTCACTCTTAGCTGAAAGAATTGAGCCTGGAGAGGCGGCTCGTTGGTCCAGAGCACTTCTTACTTTTGCCGAGGCCGCGGGTTCAGTTCCTGGCACCCACGTTGGGCGGCTCACAACTTCCTGTAACTCCATTTTTAGGGAACTGGACACTCTCTCTGTCCTTCATGGCCATCTGGCACTTCCAGGTGCACGGACTTACATGCCGGCACTCAGATATACATACACTTAAAATAAAAATAATTTTAAAACAAAGCCACTAAAGAACTGGAGTTGTCCATTTCTACCTAGAAATAAACCCTAGTTCTGATAATTATTTTTCATTTGTTTGTTTGTGTTTGGGTCCCACTTGGAAGCACAGAGGGACCTAGAACTCACAGGTCCCCTGGAACTGGGGTCAGGTCCCCTGGAAAAGCAGTCAGTCTCTTAATCACTGAACCATCTCTCTCTTCAGCCCCTGAAACTCGTTTTAATGTGTGAATTTGTATCCTTTTTCTGCAGGTCCCAGTGTAAATGCCTTAAGTGCGATATTCCTAACTAGTAACTAATTTAATTGGCACTGAGGCATTCATAAAGGGGCCAGGAAAGAGACGGATGCTGAACTTAAAGCTGAACTCTGCTCCTTTCTGGGCAGTGCAATCCAGGAAGCGTGGCGCAGTATGGAACAGTGCTTGCTAGCATTCTTGATGAGTGAGTGCTACTGCAGGGCAGCTCTTCAGTTCTCTAGGTCCTAAAGATGTTTCTCACTGTTACTGCAGATCAGATTGTTTTATCTGAGTGGCATCTACCAGCAGCAGAGTCGGTGTGATGAAACTTCCAGAACAAAGTCTGTATCAGTGGGCTCTCTGCATTTCTTCATAACTACAATACATACCATCCCTGAAACTTAGATCCATATTTCCAAATGCATTTTGGCCTTTTCCATTATATGTCTCGGAAGCAACTTAGACTCAGCAAATACAAATGGCATTCATTATGTCTTCCTCTTTGTCCAACACTCTCGGTGTTTCCCAACCCAGTGGATGGACAGTCTAGCCACTTCTGGATTGCCCAGTGCCAACGGAGTCACTCAGCATCCTAGTGTTCTGTGTTCTAACGCCCGGGCTGTTCCTAAGTCTTATTGATTTCTTTATTTAATATCCTGTGTATCCACTCATTTTCCCTCTGTTGAGGGAATCTGTTGAGGCCACAATCACATACTGCCTGTACTATTAGTACTGTTAGAGCAGAAAGGCTAGCATAATAGATACCCAGCTGCTCTTGCTTTTTTTATAGTATTGACTTCCTCTTCCTGTGTGTGTCTATAGATACACATATACATTCAATGCACATGTAGAAATGCATAGGCATTGAAGATATTGTCACATTTCATCATATGTCTCCTACAATGGAAGATAGTCTCCTGCCTGACAACACTATTAATTAGTCCTGGGGTTAAGATGGGTATAATAAGAATGCCTAAAATAAACTCTGTAATGTTTCCTTTGAGAATTCTGAATTCAATCCAGGGTTGTATTTGGTGGTTAGGTCTCTTTAGTTTTAGTCTTGTTTAATATATGGAGTACCCTTTTATGCAGGTAGTTTTGGTTTGAGTGACATTGAGTCTCTCTCTCTCTCTCTCTCTCTATATNGTATATGTATATATACACACACACACGTGTGTGTGTGTGTGTGTGAGTTTGGAGGCCAGAGACTGGCATAGTGAGTCTCCTGGTATTTCCATTTTACTTTCTGAGACAGGATGGATCTCTTGCTGAACCTGGACTCACTGATTGGCTCTGATCTTCCTGTTTCCAGCTTCTAGTGATGGGATTACTGGCACATGCCACATACCTGCCTTTTTTTTATGTGGGGGGTTGAAGTTGGGTCCTCATGCCTCGCAGCAAGTTCTTTACCCATGGGACCACGTTCTTTCCCCCTAGTCCGTTTGTTTTGGCCCCTCTCCCCATTTGTCCACGATAAGCCTCATGATTGAGATTTTGGCAGGGTAGGTGCACCGTGTTTCCCATCATACCACCTAATGCCTGTTGAGGCTTTTGTGGTGTTTGCTCACTGGTCAAGGTTGGGATCGTTTTCCTCTAACAGAGTAGCACCACACACATTCCAGACACAGAGAAGAGCCGAAACTTTCCGTTATACCTCTCCTTACTCACACGACCTCAGTTCTCGGACGAGCGCACTGCTCCGACCTGCTGTCATCCTCACGGGTTCCCACACGTTCCTCTGGCCTACTGACAAGCCGCCACCAATGTCAACAGGCTTATGTCACCGCTCCGATCCTCATCGTCCTTAGACAGGTCTCAAAACCGCCCTAGGAGTCTCTGTTCTCACCTCCCTTCTCCACCTATTCGCAGACGTGCTTCCTCTCGGCTGTCTACCGTCCAAAGGCACTGACGTCAGCCCTCCCAGCCCTTGGTGGTGCATCTACTTCATAGGCCAAGCTCTTCTTTTTTCCTACTTCCCGTTTTGGCTAATTAACGTCTTCCTTTCCTTGAAGACTCCGCTTAAATGTCATTTCTTCAAGAAAGCCTTCTCAGTGGCCCTGGGCAGGTCGGGTTTGTTCACTTTATGCCTTTATTACTTTATGTTTCTCTTTTGTACGGTTGCCGACTATCAAGGTTGTAATGAAATCATTCATTATATAATGAATCGCTTAGTGTCTGTGAGGCTTAGTGTATGTTAGGCTCCTCCTGGAAGAAGCTGTGTCAACTCCCCATGGCTGGGTCCAGTGCCTCATATGGTAGATGCTCAGTAAGTCTTTACCGGTTACTGTATATAACCTATATTAGAATATATGGGGTTGGGAGATGACTCAGTGGTTAGCACCCATGCAGATGCCTGGCAGATGCAGCAACACTTTTGTGATTCCAGGATGTGGCATGTGGATTCAGAAGATCTCTGGGGTTTACCAAAAGACTCTGCCTTAATGCAAAAGGTAAAGGTGGAGAGCATCATTTGAGGCAGACACCCAACGCAAAGCTCTGGCCTCCACATGCACACACGTACATGCGTGCCCATCCCTTTCACATGTGAACACACAGACATATACCAGCAAGGAAAAAAATAGGAAATACATTTATTCATTTCTAGTCAATCCTTTCTCTTTTCCTTTTAGGTATTCATGCCAAGCTGGACCACTATTTGGAGTTGACAGTCTGCAGAAGAAGATTTGGGACAGCCTCTGGATTACATTGAAACTCAGCCAAGATGGCCAAGTATGGGGACCTTGAAGCCAGGCCTGATGATGGGCAGAATGAATTCAGTGATATCATTAAGTCCAGATCCGGTGAGTGGTGGGAGCTTCCGCTGTGGATCTTTCTGTGGGGAATGTGTGGAAGACAGCGATTTCCTAGCTTGTTTTGCCTTGTTCTTGTGAGGCAGACTTCTCCTGACAAGCTTCACGCTGCCCAGTGACCGTCCTTCTGTCAAAGGCCACATCCCATCTCTGTGTGGCCTCTCTTACTTTCTCAGCCTTCTTTTGTTGCCGTGTGTGTGGAGCATTACTGGAGACAGTGCTGCCTGCGGCCCAATACTGCTCGGTTATGATGTCAATAGGATGTACAAACATAGTCGGACATTTTCCCTTATTTCCTGACAACAGAGCGGGATCACGTGATCAGAGTAGTGAATAATCCCGTGATCAGAGAAGTGAGTACCCTAGTTTCTGGCAGGAAGACCTTGTGGTGGGCTCCATTATCGTATGCCCACCTACCATGCTGCTCTCGGAGGCCAGGGCTGGAATGTGACCTCTTTCCTTTTTTGAAATGTCCACTTCACAAGGCAGTTTCCCCCACTTGATCAAATCAGCCAGACTAAGACAGACCAATGATTTTCATGTGATCATTTGGATTGGAGGTCTTTGGATGCCACCCTTCCCCCACCCAGCTTATTATTATATAACTGCTGCTTCTCAATTCTGGTTCTTCAAATGAATCAGCTGGGGAGTTGTTTTTTTTTTTTTCTTTTTACAAATGCAGATGTGTTGGCTCCACTCCAAACCCACTGAATGAAAATTTCTGTTATTTTTTTTTTTTTAAAGCTTCAAATGTGATTCTGAGACAGGCTCAAAGTGGAGATTTTTGTTTGTTTGTTTGTTTGTTTGTTTAAGCAAGCAGGGCCTTCTGAGTGCTTCAGATTATATAGAACTCTGTTCCTGGCCATGAACATTGTCCTTTAGTAACTCCATTATCATAAACATTATATCTGGCGTCACTCTTACAACAACCACAGCAACAAATGGAGCTCAAAGATGATTTTTGCAGTGAGAAATGTCCTTGTGCTCTGGCAAGAGCGTATTACTGATTTGGAAACTACCAAAATCTGTGCACCGACTGTGATCTCACTAGGAGATGCGTTGCCCTTCACGACGCCAGCAGTGCTGCCGTGGGAAAGCGTCTGGATGTTGCAGACTTGGCTGTGATTATGCAGTGACGGTTGTAGCTTTAGGAATCTTGGGAAGGTGCCGCTGGCAAGTCCTGTGGTGTATGCACTATAAAGGGTACTCTGAGGAGGTTGTGTTCCCCTAAATTTCATTCCAGGGGTACAGAACTCGTATTTAGAAACATGTACAGTAACGGGAAAGTGGAAGAGAGACAGTCAAGTATCTCTGCATGTCCCATAGTTGTCTATGAATTGTGAAGACGAATGAGTCTCAGTTTTGCTCTAACCCAACCTCTGTGACATTAAGACCTTGGATTTGGGGATAGGGAGGTGTCTCCATGGATAAAGCTATTGCCACAGAAGCCTGATGACCTGAGTTCAATCCTCAGAACCCTGGGAAATAGAGGTAGAAGGAGAGAACTCTCTCAAAGGACCTTGTCCTCTTCCGTATGATGTGCACAGTGGCATGTATGTGCACACACATGTACAATAATAATAAATAGATAGATAAAAAAGCCTAGGACATTTATCACTGGTTCTGGCTTTGTCCACTAGAGAACAGTTATTAGATACAAAATTGAACTTCTAGAGTATATGCTGAGTGTCCACACTTCCATACTGTTCCTTCAGTTTTAAATGACTGTTTATGAAGGCTAACAAGGCTTATTCATACTGCTGGGGTCTAATTTGTTATGGTGTATCCTTTCTGGTACTAAGGGTTGATTGTGTTAAAAAAAAATATTACTCATTTGTGTGTGCATGGAGGTAGGGTAGCCATCCATGCCACGGCAGGCCTGTGAAGGCCAGAGGACAACTTTGGGTGTCCGTTTTCCCCTTCCACACTGTCCGTTCAGATCAAATTCAGGTTGGTTGCTTGTTGAGTCTTGCTGACCCAGTGTATTGCTTTTTCGAGAAGGACATATCAATTTGTTGAGTAATTCTGTTTGTAGAGTTTCTTCCTAGGCAGTAGATATAAATGTACATTTCAGTTGATTGCAGTACTGTTTATAATAGGAAAAAAAAGGGAAATACCATAAAAATCCAGCTTGGGCATGAGTTGGATCGTTGTTGCCTAAAGTGTTTAGAAATGATCACCAGCTATAAGGTTGTTACTATTTTCTTTAAAACCCATGTTCATAGTCAAGTAACTCTGGAAATAGCAGCGAACTTACTGTTTCTTTCCTGGGATGGAACAGCTGCGTGGAGTTCACAGAACCCCAGTAGAGATAATTAAGTTAGAGCACATGACTAAAGTAGATATTTTTTCATACATGGTGATGTTGATGTGTGTGTGTGTGTGCACGAGTGTGTATAAATGTTATAAACATGGAAGATGCCATTGATAAGTGATTGTGATACAGGTAGCTATTGATGTGAGAAGTCTCTTTTAAAAGATTGCTGGTGGGAGCTGGGTGATGGGCTCAGTGGTTGAGAGCACTTGTTGAGGTTGCGGGGGACCTGGATTCATTCCCAGCATCCTTATAGTGGTGGCTCACAACCATCTGCAACTCCAGTCCCAGGGTAGGGGATGCTCTCTTCTGACCCCTGAGGACACCAGGCACACACACACAGTGCACATACGTACCCACAGGCAAAGCACTTATACACATAAAATGAAAAAATAAATAAGTCTAAAATAATCTGCTGGCCATGTGGCACCCCTGTTATCTTATCACATGGGGGGCCGCGACAGGAGGATTTGGGGTTTGAGGCTACCTGGGCTACCTTATAATATTTTGCTCCCCCCAAAGAAATAATAAGAACAAAAAAGAAGATGTGGAATTCTCTTGGTATTTGGGATAATTCTTTTCTTACTGTCCACATGTGTTTTCCAAAGCTGCTTGATGGGGCTGTATTATTTAGGTTTGGACATTTTTAAAAACCCTAATATTACATGCAGTGTTTTAATGCCAGTGTTATGACTGTGTCCTCTTCCCCCTTTGGTGGCACCTACTTCAAAACACGATGAAAATTTAGCTTCTGCATAGCTGAGATATGAATCACATTCCTTTGGCTAGATTATGTTGCAAAAGCTGGCAGATAAATTTGGATTTGAATGATCCTGTGAGTCATCTTGCTTTCTGGAAGGCACGTTCTCCATTTGTGCTTAGGGCAAATGCTTAGTATACAGTGGTATTATCTCAGGGTACGCCAAAGTTTACAAATTATCAAGAGACTTTTAGAAATCTAGATGAAATAATAGGAGTGCACTATGCAGTGAAACACGTTTGAAGCTCCTTATTGGATATGTTCCATGCTATTTCCTTCCTTCCTTCCTTCCTTCCTTCCTTCCTTCCTTCCTTCCTTCCTTCCTTCCTTCCTTTCTTCCTTATTTTCAGTTTTTAAGAAGGTATATTTGCTTGGCACCTGTTGCTTGTGTATAATCTCAGCATTTGGAAGGTAGAGAAAAAAGGATCAGAAGTTCAAGGCCAGCCTTTGCTCAAAAAAAAAAAAAAAAAAAAAAAACAAAACAAAACAAAACAAAAACCAAAAAAAAAACAAAAAACAAAAAAACAAACCAAAAACCAACCAAAACTAGAAAAAGCTCAAGCATGGTGGCTCATGCCTGTAATCATACTAATTGGGAGCCAGCCTGGACAGTTTAGTGAAATTTTATTTCAGGGAAACACCCCCACCTCCTACAAAGGAATATTTTCCTATTAGAGAATTAAAAAGCTGAAATCAAATTGAGAATGTTATACATGCACATAATATGTTTTGGTCAAATCCACCCCAATCCCATCCCCTGCAATTCCTCACCTCTGCCTACAATTTTCTTCTAATTTCATGAACTCTTAAATTTTCCCATCTCTGTGTGTGTGTCTTATGTTTTGCTTTGTTTTTTTTTGGAGACAGAATGTGGTGGCTACTTTTGTGTCAGCTTGACACAGGCTGCAGTCGTCTGAAAGGAGGGAACCTCAACTGAGAAATGCCTCCATAAAATCCAGCTTTAGGGCATTTTCTTCATTAGTGACTGATGGAGGAGGGCGCTGCCCCTTGAGAGTGGTGCCATCCCTCAGTTCTACAAGAAAGCAGACTGAACAAACCATGAAGAGCAAGCCAGTAAGCAGCTCCCTTCCATGGCATTTGCGTCAGCTCCTGCCTCCAGGATCCTGTCCTGTTTGAGTTCTTGTCCTGACTTCCTTTAATGATATGGAAGTCCAAGTCAAATAAACCCTTTCCTCCCCAACTTGCTTTTGGTCATGGCGTTTCATCACAGCAATAGTAACCCTAACTAAGACATAAAGTCTGACTATGTAACCTTGGCTGGCCTGAAATTTACTATGTAGGTTAGGTTGGCCTCAAACTCAGAGATATTCACCTCCTTCTGTCTCCTGAGTGCTGGGATCAAAAGCATGTGCCACCATACCCACCTTTATTTTTTATTTATTTATTTTTTTTTTTTTTTGAATTTTCAAGACAGGGTTTCTCCGTAGCTTTTGGTTCCTGTCCTGGAACTAGCTCTTGTAGACCAGGCTGGCCTCAAACTCACCGAGATCCGAGTGCTGCTGGGATTAAAGGCATGCTGCCAGGCCCGCCACCTTTTTTTTTTTTTTGGTTAGGAAAATCCACTTCATTTTTATTTTTTTTCTCTTGTTAGGTTTATTTCCAGATATATTTTTTGAGGCTATTGTGAGTAGGAGTGTCCATAACCTCTTTCTCTGTATTTTTTTTTAAATTTATTTATTTATTTGAGACTATCGTAAGACCTATTTTGGTCAGATTCACTACCGTCTCAAACTCCTCCCAGATCTACCCTTCTTTCCCTACCCACCCAAATTTGTGTCCTTCTCCTTCTCTTCTTCTTTTCCTTTTCCTTCTCCTCCGTCTCCTCCTCCTTCTTCTTCAAATGCTTTGAATCTAGTTTGTGTTTTCCATATACTCTTGAGTGGTTATCCACCAGGG